CGGCGACCTTCAGGTTTGAAGGCGTCGCTGAACCACTGGGCCTCAGCTGGAGCCGGCGCCGCTCCTGCCGCTCCTGCCGCTCCTGCCGCTCCCAGGGACCTGAGGCGGGGAGCAGCAGGAGCGACAGGAGCGACAGGAGTGACAGGGGCGTCGGGGGCGGGGGGTGATACTGAGACACTTTTAGAAACTGGACTCATTACCGTAAGAACAACACCTGAGTCCAGAACAAACCCGCCGAAGGACACAGGAGACAAGGAGACAAGGAAGGAGAGACAAGGAGGAGAGGAAGAAAACAAGGACATAAGGACACAAAGAAGGAGACAAGGAGGTAAGCAGACAAGGAAAAAGACAAAGAAACAAAGAGGGGAGGAAGCAAGGAAGGAGAATAGGAAACAAGGAAGCATAGTGTAGCTACTCTGGTTTTCTTCACAAAACGTGAAAAAACATTTCATCCTGATGATCAGGTTTGTCAATATGTATGTGTACTTGACCTTCATCACCTTCATCACCTTCACCACCTTCACCACCTTCATCACCTTCATCACCTTCACACCTTCATCACCTTCATCACCTTCAACACCTTCATCACACCTTCATCACCACCTTCATTCACACCTTCATCACACCTTCATCACACTTCATTCACACTTCATCACCTTCATCACCTTCAACACTTCACACTTCACACCTTCACACCTTCATCACCTTCATCACCTTCATCACCTTCATCACTTCATCACCTTCACACTTCATCACCTTCATCACTTCATCACCTTCACACCTTCATCACCTTCACACCTTCATCACTTCATCATTCACACCTTCACCACCCTTCATTCATTCACACCTTCATCACATCCTTCATCACCTTCATCACCTTCACCCTTCATCACCTTCATCACCTTCATCACCTTCACACTTCATCACCTTCATCACCTTCATCACCTTCATCACCTTCACCACCTTCAACCCCTTCATCACCTTCATCACCTTCATCACCTTCAACACCTTCATCACCTTCATCACCTTCATCACCTTCATCACCTTCATCACCTTCACTTCATCACCTTCAACACCTTCATCACCTTCACACCTTCAACACCTTCATCACCTTCATCACCTTCACCACCTTCACACCTTCATCACCTTCATTCACCTTCATTCACCTTCATCACCTTCATCACCTTCATCACCTTCATTTCATCACCTTCATTCACCTTCATCACCTTCATTCACACTTCATCACCTTCATCACCTTCATTCACCTTCATCACCTTCATCACCTTCACCTTCACCACACTTCATCACCTTCATTCATCACCTTACCACCTTCAACACACCTTCATTCTTTCACACCTTCACCACCTTCATCACCTTCATCACTTCATCACCTTCATCACCTTCACACCTTCATCACCTTCATCACCTTCATCACCTTCATCAACCTTCATCACCTTCATCACACCTTCATCACCTTCACCTTCAACCTTCATCACTTCACACCTTCATCAACTTTTCACCCTCTTTGTAATTCAAAAATACTTCAGAGGTACTTCAGTTGTACTTCAGTGATACTTCAGTGGTACTTCAGTGGTACTTCAGTTGTACTTCAGTTGTACTTCAGTTGTACTTCAGTGGTACTTCAGTGGTACTTCAGTTGTACTTCAGTGATACTTCAGTGGTACTTCAGTGGTACTTCAGTGGTACTTCAGTGGTACTTCAGTGGTACTTCAGTACTTCAGTGATACTTCAGTGTACTTCAGTGGTACTTCAGTGGTACTTCAGTGATACTTCAGTACTTCAGTGTACTTCAGTGGTACTTCAGTGGTACTTCAGTGGTACTTCAGTGATTCACTTCAGTGGTACTTCAGTGTACTTACTTCAGTGTGTACTTCAGTTGTACTTCAGTGATACTTCAGTGGTACTTCACTTCAGTGATACTTCAGTACTTCAGTGGTACTTCAGTGGTGACTTCAGTGGTACTTCAGTGTACTTCACTTCAGTGGTACTTCAGTGGTACTTCAGTGGTACTTCAGTGGTACTTCAGTGATATGTGATACTTCAGTGGTACTTCAGCTTCAGTGGTACTTCAGTGTACTTCAGTGACTTCAGTACTTCAGTGGTACTTCAGTGTACTTCAGTGGTACTTCAGTGGTACTTCAGTGGTACTTCAGTGATACTTCAGTGATACTTCAGTGGTACTTCAGTTGTACTTCAGTGATACTTCAGTGGTACTTCAGTTGTACTTCAGTGATACTTCAGTGGTACTTCAGTGTGTACTTCAGTGGTACTTCAGTGGTACTTCAGTGGTACTTCAGTGATACTTCAGTGTACTTCAGTGATACTTCAGTGGTACTTCAGTGGTACTTCAGTTGTAGTGGTACTTCAGTTGGTACTTCAGTGGTACTTCAGTTACTTCAGTGTACTTCAGTGGTACTTCAGTGATACTTCAGTGTGTACTTCAGTGGTACTTCAGTTGTACTTCAGTGGTACTTCAGTGATGGTACTTCAGTGATACTTCAGTGGTACTTCAGTTGGTACTTCAGTGATACTTCAGTTGTACTTCAGTGATACTTCAGTGGTACTTCAGTTGTACTTCAGTGATACTTCAGTGGTACTTCAGTGGTACTTCAGTGATACTTCAGTGGTACTTCAGTTGTACTTCAGTGATACTTCAGTGGTACTTCAGTGGTACTTCAGTTCAGTGATACTTCAGTGGTACTTCAGTGATACTTCAGTGGTACTTCAGTGGTACTTCAGTGATACTTCAGTGGTACTTCAGTCTTCAGTGGTACTTCAGTGTACTTCAGTGTACTTCAGTGGTACTTCAGTGATACTTCAGTGGTACTTCAGTGGTACTTCAGTGACTTCAGTGGTACTTCAGTGGTACTTCAGTGGTACTTCAGTGATACTTCAGTGGTACTTCAGTTGTACTTCAGTGATACTTCAGTGGTACTTCAGTTGTACTTCAGTGGTACTTCAGTGGTACTTTCAGTGGTATACTTCAGTGACTTCAGTGGTACTTCAGTTGTACTTCAGTTGATACTTCAGTGGTACTTCAGTTGTACTTCAGTGATACTTCAGTGATACTTCAGTGGTACTTCAGTGTACTTCAGTGGTACTTCAGTGGTACTTCAGTGGTACTTCAGTGGTACTTCAGTGTACTTCAGTGATACTTCAGTGGTACTTCAGTGTACTTCAGTGGTACTTCAGTGATACTTCAGTGATACTTCAGTGGTACTTCAGTGGTACTTCAGTTGTACTTCAGTGGTACTTCAGTTGGTACTTCAGTGGTACTTCAGTGATACTTCAGTGGTACTTCAGTGGTACTTCAGTGGTACTTCAGTGGTACTTCAGTGTACTTCAGTTGTACTTCAGTTGGTACTTCAGTGTACTTCAGTGATACTTCAGTTGTACTTCAGTGATACTTCAGTGGTACTTCAGTGGTACTTCAGTGTACTTCAGTGGTACTTCACTTCAGTGTACTTCAGTTGTACTTCAGTGATACTTCAGTGGTACTTCAGTGGTACTTCAGTGTACTTCAGTGGTACTTCAGTGGTACTTCAGTTGTACTTCAGTGATACTTCAGTGATACTTCAGTGTACTTCAGTGTACTTCAGTGGTACTTCAGTGGTACTTCAGTGGTACTTCAGTGATACTTCAGTGGTACTTCAGTGGTACTTCAGTGGTACTTCAGTGATACTTCAGTGGTACTTCAGTGGTACTTCTTCAGTGGTACTTCTTCAGTGATACTTCAGTGGTACTTCAGTGGTACTTCAGTGATACTTCAGTGATACTTCAGTGGTACTTCAGTGGTACTTCAGTTGTACTTCAGTGGTACTTCAGTGGTACTTCAGTTGTACTTCAGTGGTACTTCAGTGATACTTCAGTGGTACTTCAGTGGTACTTCAGTGGTACTTCACTTCAGTGGTACTTCAGTGGTGTACTTCAGTGATTCAGTACTTCAGTGGTACTTCAGTGGTACTTCACTTCAGTGATACTTCAGTGGTACTTCAGTTGTACTTCAGTGGTACTTCAGTGGTACTTCAGTGTACTTCAGTGGTACTTCAGTGTACGTCAGTGATACTTCAGTGGTACTTCAGTTGTACTTCAGTGGTACTTCAGTGGTACTTCAGTGATACTTCAGTGGTACTTCAGTGGTACTTCAGTGGTACTTCAGTGTACTTCAGTGGTACTTCAGTGATACTTCAGTGATACTTCAGTGGTACTTCAGTTGTACTTCAGTGGTACTTCACTTTCAGTGATACTTCAGTGGTACTTCAGTTGTACTTCAGTGGTACTTCAGTTCAGTTACTTCAGTACTTCAGTTGTACTTCAGTGGTACTTCAATAGTACTTCAGTGTACTTCAGTGTACTTCAGTGGTACTTCAGTGGTACTTCAGTGTACTTCAGTGTACTTCAGTGGTACTTCAGTTGTACTTCAGTGGTACTTCAGTGACTTCACTTCAGTGGTACTTCAGTGATACTTCAGTACTTCAGTGATACTTCAGTGTACTTCAGTACTTCAGTGGTACTTCAGTGATACTTCAGTGATACTTCAGTGGTATTCACTTCAGTTGTACTTCAGTTGGTACTTCAGTGATACTTCAGTGTACTTCAGTGACTTCAGTGGTACTTCAGTGGTACTTCAGTGGTACTTCAGTGGTACTTCAGTACTTCAGTACTTCACTTCTTAGTGATACTTCAGTACTTCAGTGTGTACTTCAGTGGTACTTCAGTGACTTCAGTTGTACTTCAGTGATACTTCAGTGTACTTCAGTGGTACTTCAGTGATACTTCAGTGACTTTCAGTGATACTTCAGTGGTACTTCAGTGACTTCAGTGGTACTTCAGTGGATACTTCAGTGGTACTTCACTTCAGTGATACTTCAGTGGTACTTCAGTGGTACTTCAGTGTACTTCAGTGATACTTCAGTGGTACTTCAGTGTACTTCAGTGGTACTTCAGTGATACTNGGATGAAATTACAGAATATAGAGAATATCTTAAATTAAAAAATATTAAACTCAAAAACAGGTTTGCAAAAATATCTTCATCTTATGCTTAAAAAACAAAAGCAAGTTCACAGAAACTGAAGCAGCTATTTTAAGACAATATTATGGAAAGAAATTAATATATTGCCCAGATTATTTTAACTGTGGTTCAGAATTGCAGCGTTAAATCAAAATAAAAATATA